TATTAATGAATGGAAGGCTAGTTTAAACCCTCATGTGGGCTACTTAAAGTTGTTTTTGAATTCTTCAAATGGACTTGGAGAGTGAAAACTATTTTTTGTCTCAAGGATTCTGATTTTGTTTTGTGTTGTGTACTATGACTAGTCGAGTTTTAGAGTTTTATTTTTTTGTCTTTTCTTGTGATGTTGCGTCAGTTGAGTCTTTTCTTTTGAGTCGCTCTCGTGTACCCTCAGGTCTCCATCTTTATAAGAAAGTGGGAGTCAAGTTTTTGATCATTTTGTTGTGCCAACAGGAATGCATGTGTGACATTTTAAAAAATAGAAAAAGCTTTGAATTTACTTTTTGAATGAGATTTTGTTAATAAGCTCGAGTGTTTAGAAGGATCCCCTGAATGGTTTGAGTGAATTTTGACTTCTCGGCGCAAAGTCCTTCATGATTTAAAAAATTTTAAGCTGTTTCTTTTGTAAAACCTACGAAGATAGGTTCAGAATTGTCCGTGGTGTTCTACATTGTCCTAGGGATTCTCTTCGCCGTTAGGTGATCATTTTGGCAAACACAAGGCAGCTTTCAGACTTGCAAGTACAAGGCGGCTTTCAGATCTCACAATCATAGAATTTCTCCCCCTAGTGTTTTCATTACATCAAAAAAGAAAAAAAAAACCAAAAAATGAAAAAAAGTAAAATATATATATATATAGATATAAATGAAAGAGGAAAGGGAAATAAAGAAGAAAGAAAAGAAAAAAGGAAAAACAAAAGGGAAAAGAAGTCAAGCGCCAATCCAGGGGTATTCATTGGATTGAAATTCAATCAACTGTGAAGAAATGAAGTGTTGTCTGAATTCGGGAAAGCCAATGCGAGGAAGTACCATGAGAAGAACCAACTCTAAAAATGGAGCAAAAGAAAGGAAGAAGACATGCATAAGAGAATGAAGAACCAAACTCAAGTCAAGGTGAAGCCAATTCTAGTGTTAGGGAAAGGGTGACTGATTGATCAAATTCACCGCAAATGTTGTAACACTATCCTTGAGAGGCTCACTAGGTCGAAAACCTGAAAGGGCGACCTAGGTAAAAGTCAGAGCATGAAAAATGAGAAATAAATAAATAGAGCTTGCAAGGTTAAAAACCCGAAGGGGCGACTTTGGCAAAAGTTTGAGCGCAAAAGAAGAGTTTCAACACTCGAGTAAACCTTAGCCATGAACTACGTTGACTTGATTGCCATTCTTGGGATACATAGGCTACTTCCTCTTGAAGTTCGATCTCAACCATGTTCATCTCATCCATCTCGACCCAATCATCTGGCCGAATTCACGTCGTCAGCTTCGCATCAATCCATGAGCTACACCGACTGCTATGCATATCATACTTGTGTTAGGTAAGAAAGAACTAGCTTGAATTAGCAAGCGGAGCAATTTTCAATACTTGAACTTATCAGTGGAATATCTAACTTAAGCAACAAAAAATGAATCAAAACTCGGGTTTTGCAAAATTGAGTTTTAAAGGGAACATAAGTAATACTAGAGGCACTATGAATGATCAGTCACCTTGAGCCTTTTTCTGCTTTTGGAAGAGTTGTGAGTTCTGTTGTGTCATGCCTGGTGTTTGTTTCAGTCTACGCTATTCATCAAGTCACCATAACGTATCTGTCGCTCGAAAGCACTCTTCATCGAGTCACCATAGTGTGTTTGTCGCTCAAAGTTCAACAGAGTGGCATCGCCAAAATTTCATACACGAATGTTCACTCCAAACTCGAAAACAAGTCCATGTGTGGAATTCATAAACATGCTGAGAGTGCCCATACAAAGAGGCATTGCATTCAAGATCATTGCAAAGTATAAATGCGGAATCTGTCACTGCTTTAGTGGGGGTTGGAGTAAGTTCTCAACATGCTGGGATAGAAAAGAAGCACGAGTCTGATTGGTTGGCAACCATTCCAAGATCTGATGATCCCCATCACACGTGCCTACATAATGTTGAAAAAGGTGGCCAATGAGTGGACACTAACGGCAATTTGCAGTACATCTGATTGGGTCATCAATTAAACAAGGGGCATGAACCTAACCTTTCTCTCAATTCGCTCAGAGCCATTTATTGGGCACTTTCCCCTTGGTTAGGGTGAGCTCACCCTCATGATGATTCTGATATGATTCAGCTTTTGAAAGTTGTCTCTGACCATTTTAAAATCTCTCTTGGGATTGCCATCTTCCCTCTGATTAATACATGTGCTTTGGATTGTGCATGCATGCTCATACATTTTAGTTGATTTGAATTGTGTGATTGGTTGCTCATGTTTCGTCGAGTTACCTTCCGCAGTGTTTTTCAATTACATTGCAATAAGTTGTGGCAAGTTGATTTCAAATAAATTGTGGCAAGTTACCCGACACTTATTTCATAAGGTACATGACGCATTACTCTAGTTGTAATAACCCGACCTTCGTACATGACTCTGGTATCTTTCGGTCATCTATTCTGTGCTTTTGAATGCTTATTGTGAAATTTTATGTGAAATTACGTTGAATTAAGTGAAACTTGGAAATATGGATTCTTATCTTTTGAACAAGAAAAGTATCTGTCGCACTTAAACTGTTTGACTCAGAAATTGGAAGCCTTAACGGCTTAATAATTTGAAATTGATTATATATCTGTGATCAGCATAATTTTTAAGTAATATTAAGCATGTTTGCGAAATTTCAATTTGGAATGCGTAAATGATGGAATTTCGTCTTATTCACCCTTTTTATAAAGTGTATATATATGTACCAAAGCTCTTTAGATATTTTGACTTAGAAATTCATTGAAACAAATCTCCTGGAAGAGAAGTTTAGAGAAGGGTTTGAGACGTAGGGGGACTAGATCATCAAGAAGGTGAAGAAAGTGAGAGACTCAAGCCTAAGGTAAAATTATTCATTATTTATGATTCTTCTTTTGAATTTGAGAAGGATTCCTCCTTTTATGAGGCTTAGAGTGTGAGTGGAAGTGGGTATTTGATTCTTGCATTAAAATGGAACATGGTTTATCACTTTGGTGTTTTCAAATTAATTTGGGGTTATATGTGTAGGAAGTTATACTTTATTCCTTCTATTAGCATGTTTGGAGTTAATTTGTGATTATGGCCATGTGTATATGTTTAAAGTGTATGAAGTATGAGTTGAGTTGTATTTTGGTTATGGAATTCATAGGAAGTTGAACTCACTTCTTGCTTGAAGATCTAGTTTATATTTATCATTATCATGTGTTTGTAATGATTTTTGAACCATGTTTTGGTATATAAAGAATCTATTTTGGACCTCATGCATGATCACGAAACATGGGGTTTTGTATGAAGGTTGAACTGCCAAACAGGGGCCAGGCCGAACGTGCGGAGAAGAGGAAAAGAAACGGGGAAGCATACTGTTTTTGGCCGCTCTAGCGGTGAAGGGGGACCACACGTGCGGTACATGTCCGCACGAGCGGAGGGTATGGCCACACGTGTGGCCCAGGTCAGAAATCCCGTTCGCTTCGTTTTACGTGCTCAACCCTCAACTCTTTTCGAAATTTGTGTTTGATACCTGTTTATGATTGTACATGCAATTGAAATGTAAAAATGCAAGAAATGGTTTAAAAGAAGAAAGAAACTAATATGTCTTATCTATGTGTGTAGGACACACCACAGGGGGAACCATCGCTCCGCAACAACACTGTGAGTAATAGTACACGAAATGTACATTTATTTACCATTAATATCTGTTATGAATATTCTGTTTTCTGTTAGACATGACATTAACATATGTATTGATCGGAACTTGGTGACAATGTAAGGTTGACTACATTTCTGTATATTTCTGGTCCGAAAGGCTGTTCAGTATATTTCTGGGCCGAAAGGCTGTTCTATATATTTCTGGGCCGAAAGGCTATTCAGTATATTTCTGGGCCGAAAGGCTGTTCTGTATATTTCTAGGCCGAAAGGCTGCTCGGTATGCATCTGGGCCGAAAGGCTGTTCTGTATTTCTGGGCCAGTAGATCATTCTGTTATACCTGTAATACAAGGCCCAAGGTCGTTCTGAAAGTAAAACACTATCAGACTCATTAGTTGAATTTCATTTTTGTGAATGCACCGTTATGCATTGTGGTTAAAGTTGGTTATTAAACTGCTTAAGTACTATTATTCACTGAGCTTGTCTCACTTTGTAATTTTGTCTGATTATGTAGGTAATCAACTTGGAGGTCAGTCCTAGCATTGTTATCATCTATCTTTTGTCAACTTAAGGACAACCAGGCACTTGGAGAAGCCCTTTGCATGCTAGTGTAGTTTTGCTAGACTTTGTCATTTTGTACTAATGTTTTGTGGGCTGAAGTCGATTTGTATCTAATGTTTGTTATATTCCCAACCTCTGGGCTGGACTTGTAAATGTGTTTGTAACTTAATCTCAGATGCATGTTCACTAGATGTTTAATTCCGAGTCGTGGTCCTGGCATATTTGTAGCAGCTCAATGGATGTGTCTACATGTTATTCTATTATATTAACGCTTCCGTTCAGGCCCCGGATATTTTATTTAGCAGAGTAAGCGTCTGTTTCTGAGTAGGTCATGCCCGAAATTTTAGGGGCAAGTTTGGGGTGTGACAAGTGGTATCAGAGCACGAGTTGCTATCTCACACACGGATCCATTGAGCTTCAGGATGTCTAGAAAGATGTAGGAATCATGTAGTAAAGGAAGATTGATAGCAACGTTAAATGTTTTCTGCTAATGCTAATGATGATGACCAATGTCTATTGTATTCTTTTGTGTATGTTGTACTTGATTGTTTTGTAGACTATGGTGAGAACAAGGACCGAAGTTCAGGAAGATGCTACCTCAGCACGGTTGGACAGGATGAAAAGAATGATTATGGAAATGGCGGAAACTCTACGACAACAACAACAGCAACAACAGCCATAGCCGCCACCACCACCAGTACCCCCACCTGTAGTGCAAGATATTCACGCTGAGGACCGTACCATTACACTTACTAAGGAGTTTAAAAAGATGAAACCACCATCATTTAAAGGAGGAATTGAACCAATGAAGGCTGAGGCATGGGGGTTAGGGATAGAAAAATTGTTCGAAATTTTCCCTTGTACTGAAGTTCAAAAGGTGCAACTTGCTACTTGCACTCTTGAAGATGAAGCACGGAGGTGGTGGATGCTTACAAGAACAATGCATCAGGGGTTGACATGGGACAGGTTCTTGGCGCTGTTTTATGATAAATATTTTCCCCAGAGTATGCGAGACAAGAAGGTGACCGAATTCAAAACATTGAGACAAGGAGACAAAACTGTTGCCGAATATGAAGCTCAATTCGCGGAATTAGCCCGGTTTGCATCTCACATGGTAGATACAGAATATAAGAAGGCGTGAAAATTTGAAGGAGGGTTGCGGGGTACTATTCTGGACCGAGTTAATGTGTTGAAGTTGCCTACCTACGTTGATGTGTTAGAAAGGGCTGTTATAGCAGAAGGGAATATTGCTACTCATACTCGGATTTCTGAATGGAAAGGAAAGAGGCAGAACAACCAATGGTTCAAGGGGTCAACTACTCCACCAAACAAGAAACAAAATTCAGGGACCTCCAACACTACTACTCCTCCTCAAAATTCAGCTCCTGTGTGTCCAGAATGTGGATGGAGGCATCGTAGGATTTGTCACCGATTGTCTGGAGCATGCTTTCGATGTGGCAAAACGGGTCATTTGATAAAAGACTGTCTGCAAAAGAATCAACAAACTGGTAATAAGGCCGCCACAAGCTCAGCAGGGTCTACACCGGCTCCTAATGCTAAGTCAGCTGCTAAACCTGCTAACAATAAGGACACTATGATGCAAGGCAGGGTATTTGCGTTGGTTCCGGAAGATGTACAGAATGCAACAATAGTGGTGTCAGGTACATTTATGGTTCATGGTCATTCTGCCTACGTCTTATTTGATTCTGGCTCTACCTGTTCCTTTGTGTCAAAATTATTTGCCAAACATTTCAATAAACCTGAAGAAGACTAGACTTATGTGCTGTGTGTATCTTCACCTATTGGAAATTCCATGATCTGTACCTCTGTATATTCTGCCTGTGAACTTCTAATTGGGGATGTCCATGTATATGCTAATCTATTACCACTTGATATGACTTCTTTTGATATTATTCTGGGAATGGATTGGTTGGGTGAATATAGTGCCACTATAGACTGTCTGACGAAGCAAATCAAATTCCACCCTCCGGGGCAATCAGAATTTACTTTTCAAGGACAGGGAGTAACTTCTCCACCGTATGTGATTTCTGCAGGAAGGGCTTGTAAATTAATTCAGAAAGGGTGTCAGGGGTATTTATGTAGTGTTTTGGAAGGGCCAATAATAGATGCTGATGCGATTCCAGTTGTCTGTGAATTTCCGGACGTCTTTCCGGAAGAATTGCCAGGAGAATTAGTGGACCATGAAATAGAGTTCACGATTGAAGTGCTACCGGGAATCCAACCCATTTCTAAAACCCCGTATCGAATGGCACCAGCTGAAATGAGGGAATTGAAGACTCAGTTGCAAGACCTACTGGATAAGGGGTTTATCCGCCTGAGTATTTGTCCGTGGGATGCACCAGTCCTGTTTGTGAAAAAGAAAGACGGAACACTCCGATTATGTATAGACTACCGGGAGCTTAATAAAGTAACAATCAAGAATAAGTATCCATTACCGCGGATCGATGATTTATTTGATCAATTACAAGGGGCACAGATCTTTTCCAAGATTGATTTACGGTCCGAATACCACCAATTGAAAGTTAAAGCTGATGATGTTGAAAAGACAGCTTTCCGAACCCGATACGGTCATTATGAATTTCTGGTTATGCCCTTTGGAGTTACTAACGCACCCGCGGCATTCATGGATTTGATGAATCGTGTCTTTAAGCCCTATCTGGATGAATTTGTTGTGGTCTTTATTGATGATATCCTCATTTACTCAGAGAATGTAGAAGCTCACGAGAATCATCTTTGTTTAATTCTTCAAGCCCTCCGAGAAAAGAAGTTGTATGCAAAGTTAAAGAAGTGTGAATTCTGGCTACGTGAAGTGGCACTTATGGGGCATGTTATAACTAAGGAAGGAGTCTCTGTTGACCCAAACAAAATTGAGGCGATCGTGAACTGCCCGACTCCGACTAATGTGACTGAAGTGCATAGTTTTATGGGGTTAGTCGGATATTATAGGGGATTTGTTCAGGATTTTTCTAAAATTGCTGTACCACTCACACAGTTGACTAAAAAGGGAGTTGCGTTTAAATGGTCGGAACCGCGGGAATCTACTTTCCAAGAATTAAAAATGAGGTTAACTACGGCTCCAGTCCTTGCACTACCATCTGGTACTATGGGATTTGTGATTTATAGTGATGCTTTACATAAGGGACTTGGTTGTGTGCTTATGCAAAACGGAAGGGTTATCGCTTATGCCTCTCGACAGCTTAAACCTCATGAGAAGAATTATACCACGCATGATCTTGAGCTAGCCGCAGTAGTTTTTGCTTTAAAGATTTGGCGGCATTATCTGTATGGGACTACTTGCGACATTTATACCGACCATAAAAGTCTAAAATACCTTTTCACCCAAAAAGAGTTGAATATGCGCCAGCGGCGGTGGTTGGAGCTTATTAAGGATTATGATTTACAGATCCACTATCATCCTGGTAAAGCCAACACGGTGGCAGACGCACTTAATCGGAAAAATGTGGGAAATTTGGCAAGTTTATTGACAGAGAAAAAGGAATTGATAAGTGAGCTGAATAAGATGGGGGTCGACTTGGTGATACATGGTCAAGAAGCAACAGTGGCAACAATGATGGCCCAACCGACATTACTTGAGGAGATTAAATTACGCCAAATGGAGGATGGAGCTCTAAAGAAGATATGTGAGGAAATGGAGATAAAACCGAAACTGGGGTTCACTTTGACAGATTCTGTGCTTAAATTTCAAAATCGAGTATGTGTTCCTAATGTGGTAGAACTTAAATGGAAATTGATGGAAGAAGCACATACCTCCAGAGTTACAATGCATCCAGAAAGTACCAAAATGTACCGGGATTTGAAACAAATTTTTTGGTGGCCAAGTATGAAAAAATAAATCACGGAGTTTGTCTCTAAGTGTTTGCAATGTCAGCAAGTAAAAGCAAAACATCAGAAACCAACAAGATTATTACAACCCCTTCCAATCCCGGAATGGAAATGGGAACATCTGACCATGGATTTTGTTGTAGGCTTACCACGGACACCTCGAGGAATGAATTCTATATGGGTCGTGGTCGACCGATTGACAAAGTCCGCCCACTTCCTGCCTATGAAGACCCAGTATAATGCAGATAAACTTGATGTGATCTATGTGAATGAAATTGTAAGGCTTCACGGTGTTCCGGTCTCAATTGTGTCAGATAGAGATCCAAAATTTGTTTCAAGGTTCTGGCAAAGTCTACAGAATGCAATGGGTACAGAAATAAAGTTTAGCACAGCTTTCCACCCTCAAACAGATGGACAATCCGAGAGGACGATTCAGACGTTAGAAGATATGCTTTGAATGTGTGCTCTGGATTTTTAGGAAAGTTGGGAAACCCATCTGCCGTTGGTTGAGTTTGCGTATAATAACAGTTACCATTCGAGTATTGAAATGGCACCCTACGAAGCTTTGTATGGAAGACCGTGTCATTCTCCCGTGTGTTGGGCTGAGGTTGGAGATAGGCCATTGTTAGGGCCAAAGATTGTCCAGTTGACAACTGAAAAAGTTAGAATTATTCGAGAAAGATTGAAAACTGCCCAAAGTAGACATAAGAGTTATGCAGATAACCAGTGAAGGAATTTGGAGTTTGACGTGGACAGTCATGCTTTTGTGAAAGTTACCCCAATGAAATGACATCCAAGATTCAGAAAAAGGGGTAAACTGACACCCCGATAAGTTGGTCCCTTCCAGATCTTAGAAAAAGTGGGTCCAGTAGCCTACCGAGTTGCCCTACCGCCACATATGAGTCAGATTCATAACGTGTTCCATGTTTCTATGCTTCGAGGATACCTTCCAGATTCGTCACATGTTATTGATTATCACCAAATTGTGTTGATTGACAAGTTAACATACGAGGAAAAACCAATTCGAATTCTAGACCGTCAAGTGAAACAGTTACGGAACCGAGAAATTCCAATGGTAAAAGTGGAATGGCAAGAGCATTACGGAACTGAGGAAACTTGGGAAAAGGAAGATGAAATACGACACCAATATCCGCATCTGTTTCCGTCCTAAGGTAAAACAAGTTTGGAGGACCAAACTTATTTAAGGGGGGAGAGTGTAATAACCCGACCCTCGTACATGATTCTGGTATCTTTCGGTCCTCTATTCTGTGCTTTTGAATGCTTATTGTGAAATTCTGTGTGAAATTACGTTGAATTAAGTGAAATTTGGAAATATGGATTCTTATCTGTTAAACAAGAAAAGTATCTGTTGCACTTAAACTGTTTGACTTAGAAATTGGAAGCCTTAACGGCTTAATAAACAGAAATTGATTATATATCTGTGATTAGCATAATTTTTAAGTAATATTAAGCATGTTTGCGAAATTTCAATTTGGAATGCGTACATGATGGAATTTCGTCTTAGTCACCCTTTTTATAAAGTGTATATATATGTACCAAAGCTCTTTAGATATTTTGACTTAGAAATTCATTGAAACAAATCTCCTGGAAGAGAAGTTTAGAGAAGGGTTTGAGACGTAGGGGGACTAGATCATCAAGAAGGTGAAGAAAGTGAGAGACTCAAGCCTAAGGTAAAATTATTCATTATTTATGATTCTTCTTTTGAATTTGAGAAGGATTCCTCCTTTTATGAGGCTTAGAGTGTGAGAGGAAGTGGGTATTTGATTCTTACATTAAAATGGAACATGGTTTATCACTTTGGTGTTTTGAAATTAATTTGGGGTTATATGTGTAGGAAGTTATACTTTATTCCTTCTATTAGCATGTTTGAAGTTAATTTGTGGTTATGGCCATGTCTATATGTTTAAAGTGTATGAAGTATGAGTTGAGTTATATTTTGGTTATGAAATTCATAGGAAGTTGAACTCACTTCTTGCTTGAAGATCTAGTTTATATTTATCATCATCATGTGTTTGTAATGATTTTTGAACCATGTTTTGGTATATAAAGAATCTATTTTGGACCTCATGTATGATCACCAAACATGGGGTTTTGTATGAAGGTTGAACTGCCAAACAGGGGCCATGCCGCACGTGCAGAGGTCGTGGCCGCACGTGCAGAGAAAAGGAAAAAAAAAAGGGGAAGCATACTATTTTTGGCCGCTCGAGCGATGGAGGGGGACCGCATGTGCGGTACATGTCCGCACGAGCGGAGGGTATGGCCACACGTGCGGCCCAGGTAAGAAATCCTGTTCGCTCCGTTTTACGTGCTCAACCCTCAGCTCTTTTCCAAATTTGTGATCGATACCTGTTTATGATTGTACATGCAATTGAAATGTAAAAATGCAAGAAATGGTTTAAAAGAAGAAAGAAACTAATATGTGTTATCTATGTGTGTAGGACACACCACAGGGGGAACCACCGCTCCGCAACAACACTGTGAGTAATAGTACACGAAATGTACATTTATTTACCGTTAATATCTGTTATGACTATTCTGTTTTCTGTTAGACATGACATTAACATATGTATTGATCGGAACTTGGTGACAATGTAAGGTTGACTACATTTCTGTATATTTCTGGGCCGAAAGGCTGTTCTGTATATTTCTGGGCCGAAAGGTTGCTCGGTATGCTTCTGGGCCGAAAGGTTGTTCCATATTTCTAGGCCAGTAGGTCGTTCTGTTATACCTGTAATACAAGGCCCAAGGCCGTTCTGAAAGTAAAACAATATCAGACTCATTAGTTGAATTTCATTTTTGTGAATGCACCGTTATGCGTTGTGGTTAAAGTTGGTTATTAAACTCCTTAAGTACTATTATTCACTGAGCTTGTCTCACTCTGTAATTTTG